CCCTAAAGTACATTCCTTTTGGCGCCGGAAGGAGAGGATGTCCTGGAGTAAATCTAGCTAATATTTTTGTAGGAACCGCGATAGGAGTGATGGTGCAGTGCTTTGACTGGAAAATCAAAGGAGTTAAGGTCAGCATGGAAGAGACTTTTGAAGGAATTAGCCTAACCATGGTTCATCCGCTTAAGTGCACTCCAGTTCCTCGAATGGAACCTTTTTCTTTTTAACCTTTAATCTCCAGATTCCCATCTCATGTCACTCATCTTGGGAAAACATGCAAGAGTTTAATTGCTTTCTTTTGTTTTGTTCATCTTGAGAGATCTGTGTAATATAAATGAAGCATGGTTGGTCATATAAATGGATTCGGGCTTCCATATTTTCCTGGTTGGTCACGTGAAAATCTGGAAGAGATATTCTTCAACAATCCTAACATTCTCGAGAGATTAAGAGAGGAAATCGATTCGGTTGTAGGGAAAACAAGATTGATTCAAGAAACAGATCTACCAAACCTCCCTTATTTGCAAGCGGTGGTTAAGGAAGGGCTTAGATTACACCTGCTCGGGCCTCTCTTGATTAGGACGTTCCAAGAAGGTTGTGAGATCAAAGAGTTCTACATAAATGAAGACAACACTCGTTGTTAATACATATGCTGTAATGAGGGACCCTAATTCTTGGGAAGATCATGATGAGTTTAAGCCAGAGAGGTTTCTAGCAGCTTCAAGATCAGAGCGAGAAGATGAGATAAGAGAGCAAGCATTGAAATACCTTCCTTTTGGTGGGTGGAAGGAGAGGTTGTCCTGGATCAAATCTAGCTTATATCTTTCTAGGAACCGCGATTGGAACAATGGTACAATGTTTTGACTGGAGAATCGAAGGAGATAAGGTCAACATGGAGGAAGCTCTTGCTGGAATGAATCTGGCCATGGCTCATCTGCTTAAGCGCACTCCTGTTGTTCGAATCGACCCTTCAACTTTTAATTTGCACTGACTTGTAATGATCCCGAACACCGGACTTTGCTTTCCTTATGTGTGATGTTGTGTTCATCTTCTTCAAACACGTTCAGCTACATTGGTTGTCTTTATTATTATGTTTGTTGTATCTGAAAGCCAAACATTTAAATAAATTTGATTCGAATATCTTTAAAGATAAACTTACCGAAAAAGACTTCGGGTTAGCATATAATTCAATTTTAAGATGTGACC